AGAGACACCTGCTATTCAGTGTTCTGTCTTAAGGAAAAAATAAAACAAGTTATTAAAAAAAGCATTCAATATAGACTCTAGGCATATCAATTTGTGCCGTCAAAAAATGAACAGTAAAGAGATACACTCTTTGGATTAGGAATTTGTGGGCAGTTTTTAAGAAAACCTTTATATAATACATAATTTAGCCAGGCCATGAATCACAGAGACACCTGCTATTCAGTGTTCTGTCTTAAGGAAAAAATAAAACAAGTTATTAAAAAAAGCATTCAATATAGACTCTAGGCATATCAATTTGTAAAGACAAAAAATGAACAGTAAAGAGATACACTCTTTGGATTCTAATGTGCTGTATGATTTCCTTTATTCTCTAGCCTGGATGACAGCCCTTTGCAGCTGAGAACATACTGAAGGATAAAAGAGAGTTTAACTGACCTGTATGCTGCCTCCGATGTTTGGTGAGGGCATGACGTGTCCCACCAGCAAAGCCACAAAGGTCACACAGGAATGACTTCTCGCCTGTTGCAACAATAAACAGATGAGGGACTGCAGAGGTCACAGATCATTAAAACATATCTATCAAGGCTTTCAGGGTTACTAATTCCTCCAATCAAATGTTTCCATGTAAATATGTCAAATGGGAATGAAATTACCACTGCGGTTTATTGACTGTGATAAAATCTGAAAAGCACCACTGAACATAATTACATACTTGTCAGACCCATAAAAATTAGCTTTATTATCAATGGAATGGTTTTGTACAACTTCATTTCTGTTAGATGTCTTCCAGATGGGGCTGCTTTATTCACTTGAACAGTTTTTATGCATATCCTGATTTTTTACAATTCCCATACATCTGGCCTTTCTGTGCTCAGGAAAGGCTGCCTAAAAAAGTTAATATACAGTTACACACCATGTGTGTGTGTGATTGTGTGTGCTGTATCTCCTTAAATAAAAAATATATTTGGTTTTACAAAAGAAAGATGTTGAACAAATTTTAACTAACTTAATCACATTCTTCTTCAGAAACCTCCCAGTAAATTATACAAATTAAATTATTTCCTGAAAAGAAAACAGGCAACAATAAAAACCTACATTATTCTGTACCAATGGCAGCTCAGTGCTGTTTATGTTTCTAAAACTTTCATAATGAAGAAAAAAACAAGTCTAGGGATTACTTCAGAAATTGAAATAGGACTTACGCTGTTCATATTAAAGATATGTCCTTATTCTAAGCCTCAGAAACCATTAAAAGATAGATTTGGCAAGGTTGCTACTTGTTAAAAGTGTGCAAATGTGCACTTATAAAGTATTTTTATTCCAGATAAAATTTTGCCTTTTGCAGTTTATAAATGCAGTATATCATTCTGCAGTAGCATTTTTAGTCAGTAAAGCCCAGGCATGTGAGGCAGATTCATCCCACAAGGCCAACGAAGAATGGTATTATAGAATAATAATGCTAACCTTGGAGAGAGCCAGTGAAATTATAAGACAGCGTTAACACACAAACGAGTCATTTGGCTCATTTGGAGACAAATTGTACCCTCCCACCCATGCACCAATGGCAGGGAATTAAAGGAACTGGGAAAGTATTTCAAATAAATGGCAGAACGGCTTTTATACAGGGAAGGAGGATTTACGGTATGGGAGTTAAGAGGTTTGTTTCTGAATTCCTATTGGTCTTAACAACACAGGCATCTGCTTTCTTGTTCCTTATGAATGTACGTTCTATACAGCAGCTTAACTTTATATTTTTCTGCCATTTTCATTAGTTGACGTATACCTTAAAGACTTAGAGGAGCATGGCAGCTAGTACTGGTTTGAGAGATTTTGTCAGCTAAGGATCAATGTTATGCCACCTTTCCACCACAACTTTAGCCCTTCCATCCCATCCTTAGACTGAGCTGCCATTCTATTCAGTTCTAATGCTTCCAGAATCCTGCCCCCAAGCACTTTTTCCCTCTCCACTGATACCATATTTGCACATACTTTGCAGTTTTTTATTTAAGCCTTATGCTTCTCTATCTCTAAGTCGCTCCTGATTCCTAGGCCACTAACGGGATTCAGCTCACTATGCGTCAATAAACACTGTGCTTTTCCCCCTCCACTTTGAAGGCTAAATACATCAAAGGGTACATTCCTCATAGCTAAGAGCTACCAGTAGATTGTGAAACAGTTTGCTCCTGAATAATCAGTTGCTGGGCCACCACAATGGTGGAGGAGTGCTGTCTTTATGTCTTGTTTATGAGATTCCTGAGGGTAACTGGCTGTCCAGTGCATGAAACGTAAGTGCTATACTAGACAGGGTTTTATTTGATCCAGGAGGGCTCTCAGATTTGCTATTTCTTCTTTTTTTTTCTTACTGTCATAAAGCTCTGTGCCTTCTTTTTAGTTCCTGTTGCACCTCAGCAGCAGTAACAGGTTGCGATGGGATGGGGAACTTGCTGCTCTTGGAAAAACTAACTACCCAAAGACACTTAGGAAAGCTTTGCTGTTAGCAGAAACATCAAGAACAGAACTTGGGTGAGCAAAATACTTATAAATATACATGCATAAGAGAACAAAAACAAATGAACAAATCATCCTATATAAGCAGTTCTTTACGATGATTCTCCTCTCCAGTGCATACAGATCAGAGCTTGTTGTTTAATATCATATCCATATAAATGTTTTCCATGCATGAGCTGCAATTTGGCCCAGATGGGCAGGGCAGATATTATTTCCAGTGCTGGTAAAATAAAGCTAGTTTTTACCAAAGCAAACACAAAATAAATAAAAAGATTGAAAATTAAAACTTTTATTTCCGCTCTGAAAAGGTTATTCCAGGGAAACAGCAACTAAAAGCAACATGATTTTAAATTTATTAATACTGGGGTAAAAGTCAGAAGACCCTCCAGGGAAAAAAACAACAACAACCCTGTAAATGCCTATTTTTCTGCCAACTGTTCTACCATTTTATTTTCTGCTGGCACTTGAGTTCATCAGAATACCACCTGGAAAGAAAAAGGGGAACATGACAAAAATAGCTATAATTTAGTATTACTCAGTTAGAAATACAAATCTTTTGAACTACTTAGCCCAATAACTTCAATTAAGACACCCAGTTGATTCTGAACTGCAATTCAGTGTCTACAAGGATTTTTTCTTTAAGGGTGGGAAGACCTGATTGAAGTAGCATTTTCTTCTTATAGCAAATAAGGACACATGGAATGCTACCTTGATTCTCTACCACCAACTATGAATGAACATGTTTACTGTATAATCAGGAATCCAAACAAAACTGTACTTAGTATGCCACCTACCTATGTTCTTTATATACCATACATTCTATAGTTTTAATTCAAAGGAGATCCCAGTAGAATGTTCTTGATTGACTGAGAGGAAGAAATAATACTACTGGGTTTTCAAGAATTTCAAGAAATGTGGTGGCATTTACTATTTTTCTATTATTCATTCCAGGCATATAAGTGAATTTGTGGCTTGGGATGGGTGGGGGGTAGTGGTTATTTTATTTCATTTTCCATCATTTCCTTTGTGCTTTAGAGTTAGTTTTGTATGGATGTTGCTGAAAGCTTGTTTGTTTGAACATAGGCATGTATATAAGCCTAACAGTTATTAGATGCAATCGTGCTTGCATTTATGTATGTCAGAGGATACACTGCACATGATTTCAGTCTTTAACCATACATTAACAAACATTCATTCTTCCTCCAGGAATTACAACCTTTAGACTTTGAGATGGAGCAATACATCACTTGGGGTACAGGGGGCTGATCTAACATGCCATGTTTATATGATATCAGGAATGTAATAGAAAATGGTTCTTTTCTTAACAACTTGAATTAGTTTCAAGTGTGCCACTTTGCATTCAAATGTAGAAAGACACGGAAACCAATCCTTTATTTTCCATTAGAAAACAGCCACTGTCCCCTATCTCTCATTATGGTGCAGACTACAAGACCTAACAACAAAAATCCATATTATTGATCTAACCAAGTCTCCACAATTATTCTTTAGAAGGAAACGCCGACGATAAATTACATCTGCACTGGCTTTTCATCTGCTGTTCGATATAAGTGATCTCTCAGGGCAGGCTGGAGACCTTAAATCGTCAACACCCTTGTCAAAGAAGCTAAGGAGGCCCAGGCTCCCTACAAACTGCCTTGAAAGAACTTTTAACCTATAATTTCTAGCAGCAACTCATTTCATTTTCAGAAAATTGTAAAATCTTTTCAGGATTTTTTTTTTAATTTAATGAAACACTGTTTCATCTTCTTACAAAATGCCTAGAGAATTTTGATTTTAAGATCATTTGTCTCCTATCTTACAGTTTCAACTATGTACTATAATCTCAGATGCCTTTCTGAGTTTTCCTTCTTATCTCATTATAAGCACAGTTCTAATATTCTCCTTAAAGAATCAAGCTGAATTGGAAATGCTTCTGTGGCTAGTATTATTTTTGGTTAAAACTAGAGATCGATTATTAAAGACATTTAAGATCTTCATTGGAATCTTTGTTCTAATAAGTTTAAAGCAAAGGTACAGCTATTAACTTTTTTTTCCTGCTGTAGTAAACTCTGCATCTTTTGTTATATAAATCTGATTTTTATTAAGGCATTAATTTAAACTTTAACCATATTGCTTTAAAATGAATGCAGCCTCAGCATTCTTGGAAGCAGCTGGTATCAAATAATGGATAATATTTCAGTAAGAGCTGGTTCACAGAGAAAGATTTAGTTCATTTTCCTTGCTGCAACCTGTCCTTCGTATATTTATTCATTTGTTTAAATATAACTTATATCTCTGCTTTACTCATTACAATAAAAACCAATATACAATGAAAATTAACATGCAAGACAATAATTTTGCAGCATTGTCTGCTATTAGTTCCAAAAGGTCCACCTGTTTAGACAATATTTTCTCCTTTTAATTTGATACATATTTGTATCTAAGCAGGATTTCACTAATGATACATAATGATTGTGTAACTCAGCCTTCTGAATCAACTTAGTTGCATGATGAAATCATTGCATTTCCAGATGCAGGCACTTGGTTCAGCTCTTTTAAATGTAATAGACCTTATTCATAACAGTTTTAGTAATTGAGATATTTGTATATTATAATAATAGTATTATTAAATTAATATTACATTAGAAAATGTAGTACAGGTAGCTTCTTTTCCTAAAAAAAAATAACATGAAAACAAATCTAAATTATTTTAAATATGATTTCAAGGAAAATCACAGGATCAGTGAATTAAAAATATCTAAAACTTTCTCTAACATGCCATCCTTTAGATGTGTTGAACTTTAGTCCCCTGAGTTCTCAGTCAGCAAGGAATAGTAATTCTGACCAAGAATTCTAGGAGCTGTAGTCCTGTACAAGGTTAGTCTTTAAATTCCTACCCATTTAAGAAGTACAGATATGCCCTCGGGAATCTCATAGTTGGGACCTTCTCCTTTCTCTTCACACTTCCATCATTGGAGATGTTAGAGATATTACAGAACAGACCCCAATAGTGTACACAAGCAACTAGTATATCCGCTAGTGTATACCCAAGAGTAACAACTCTGCCTTAATGGTTCCAGAGTTAAAGGCATATCTTGAACCCTAGCTTTATTATTACTCCCAATACAGCCATGTATAGCCTCTTCCCTGTCCATATCAAGAAAAGAAAAGCATAACCAAACCTGTATGAGTCCGATAGTGATCTTTCATGGCTGATGCTGTGAGGAAGGAATAATGGCAAGTCGGCCATGTGCACTTATAGGGCTTTTCTCCTGTGTGAAGCTTCATATGATTGTTCATGGCCCACTTCTCTGTGAAACTTCGATTGCACAAGGGGCAGGTAAATTTCCTGCGTACAAAGAGAAAATCAAGAAGGGGGAAAGGAATTAACTGCATGCATGCAACATCCCCAAACTGACAAAAAAAAGCATGTTTTTAACACGAACTGTGCTAAATGCACAGACTTTCATGAAGAGAATTGCAGACCTGGTCTGTCATGTCTGTATAACCAGGCATTGATTTTTCTGTCGAGACTTGGCACTTCAGCCATTTATTCTCTGCTTTGCGGTTGGGCCCAACGGGTTTGAAAAATTCTGTTACAGTCCACTCACCCCTGAGGCAAATGTGAGAATAGATTTCACCTGTACAGGCCTACACCACTTATCCGAGCATGGGCTGTCAGAGCAAAGGCTAAATGAAAAGCTATCCATACTAAACTACTCAGACAATCACACTGCTCTATGCCAGGCTGCTGTTACTGCAGTGGGGAGGTGAAATACTACTTGTAATAACACTGTTACCATAGTAAACAGAAAAACACTCCCCCCTCCTCCCTCCGCTTCTTACAGCAAGTCTTAAAGGGGGTTGCAAAAGGTCTGCCGGCATTTCTTGAAAGGTTCAGGCACTTCTTGAAAACAACTGCTAAAGGCTGAATTGGAGGTGGTTTACTGTTTTAAACATTTCCACAATTAAGGAATAAAATCATATCAAAACTAGACCTGCTCACAGTTAAAAGGTATAAGAGGCTTAATGATCAAAGTTCGCTCAAGCAAAGGGAAGAAGGAAGGAGGTTATTTGGTGGAGGGGGAGATATATTTATTCCAATGTTTAAGCCCAATTGACTTTTCCTGTGAATGGGTGCAGTTCTATCATGGAGATTCAACAGAAAAGCTATGTTCCTAGTGGGCACTGACATCACTTCATGATGGTATGATTATCTAGCTCAACAGAAAGGTTCAGGAGGCATTTGTGGTGTGTAAATTACTCTTTAACGTAAACCAAGCTTAAGATATTTTCCTTGAAGAGTTTAAAAACAAAACCAACCAACAAAAACATCTGAAATTGATCCTGGGGTCAAGTTAGCAGCCAGTGCTGAAAAGACAAGGCCATCCCTCTGCACAACTTCTTCGCTACTGAAAATAGTTATCTATAGGGTTGCCCTTGAAAATTATTTGTACTGGGAAGCTTCAGCTGATCCAAAAAGGCAGAAGAAATGCCTAGCACTAGTTTTTCATGTGCTGTGACTGAAGAACAAGTATGAGAGGTTTACTCATTGCATCACTACTTAATTCTTCAGGAACAGGGAGATACCAATAACACATTCAGGAACACAAGCTATTGGTTAATAATGGCCTTAAAGTCTTAATCAATTCAGTTCACAGAAAAAAAGTGCTGGACAAAGATCTGCTTTTTACTAATAGAAATATTGACCTTGACTTTCCATGAGGGTAATAATCCCCTCACCAAACCTCACAAACAAAAGGAACTAAACAAGAGAGTTGTGTGGTCACCTTGGCAGCCACAGCACAAATGGCTATGGAGGTATAGACCAGTGGTCAGATGGGAAGGGGCAGTCCTACAGCAGGCCATTTTAAGCCCACCACATTGCCAATCTCTAAGGGCTCCTCCTTCATTTACTGAGGATTGCCTGGTGTCAGGATAAGATGGAAAGTATGCTGGAATACCTTATGCTTGACTTCAGGCCACCTTAGTAGGCTGGACACAAAATGGAAGCTTCATTATGAAGACCTTCCCTCAGGAAAGAGTTTTTAGGGCATCATTGCACCATGGCAAGCAGGCTATGTGGATGCGTCCCCTACTGACCAAAGCCACGATGGGTGCCAGAGGCCAAAATCTATGGCTTCATCAGGTGATGATCAATCCATATGGAAGATTGTGATTTGGGATATTAGAAGAATAAATGGTAAAGAGTAAGGATTAATGAGTGAAATACTAGGAAGAAAATAGTTATGTTGTGATTCTGTGAAACTAAGAGAAAAGGATTACATTAATCTAATATCTGAATGAAGGTGATTTGATGTTCTGAAATGGAATTGATGAATATATATACATAAACAAATAATTATTTCAGTCAGTGACCAGGTAAAACAATATATATATATATAAACTAAATACAGCAAAGAGAATATATATAGGAAAGTGAAAGTATAGATTTAATATGAATGAAACCACTAAAATGTATGTCTGAAAGTAGGAAATGATGTCATTTAGGGTGGGTGTCTAAGTATGTGGGAAGCCATAGGTTGGTAATTGTTGCATGCCATGCTCCAGTGAATGCATTAATGGAAGAACCAGAGATGAATTTTGGGGGAAATTCTCTTACATTCTGAAAAAAAAATTCTGAATGAATGAACATTCTGTTATGTAGCTGGAATGGATGAGTGGAATGAGATGAGAAAGAACAGAAAAAGTGAGTGGGTCATTTGGAGACCCAAGAATGAATGAGAATAGTGAGTATCTGCATAAAAAAACATTTGTTTGTTTCAAACAGAATGCTTTAAGCATAATTCTATCTAACATATTACTGGCAAAAAATGATTATAAATCTAAAAAATAATTAATTTGATTGTTTATAATGAGAGATTGAGATAATTAGTGAAGGAAACAAAGATGACAGGTTCTGTGAATGTGAGGCAGACCATTCTTTGGTATGTCAAAAGGGAATGTGGGGAAAATGGACACGGGAGAAAAGGAAATAAGTGAAAGTAACTAGAATGAAAGCAGAATAATTGCAGGAAACAAAGTACTATATGAAAAAGAATTATAATATAGATTACTCTTACAATGGAATGAACAGACAATGGATGCAAGTAAACAGGATTTGGAAGCTACTTGGAACAGACTGAAAGGATCGCCACAGAATGCCACAGATTTGTGTTCAGTTAATGCTAATGGGAAATACAAAAAAGTTTTGTCACAAGCTTCTTTCCCTACATACATATATGAAATGTTATGTTGCACATACAACAGGGGCAGACCATCTGTCATGCTGTTGTTATATTTTATCATTTGTCCCCTTGCCCCCTCTGCATCCCTGCTGATGCCTGTGTAAAGAAGGCTGTTGAGAAAATAATCTATGTAAGAAAATGACTGCTGCCCAAAATTAGTGTGAAAGATATTGTATAGTATGCACACACAGAAAAAGAGAGCTACAAAGAACATAGTAAAAGAGTAAGGAATAGTTAAGATTCAAAGAAATCACGCAGAGCAAATTTGAGGGAAATAAAAAGTTGTTTGATAACTGGATGAAGAAGACTAAACAAGGAGCCCCCAACAGAGAAAACAGGATTCAAAATAATCATAAAACTTATTATATTCCCTCATTTAATGTATTTATGAATAAATGAATGATCGCAGTATTTGTAGAAATATGAAAGTATGTGTACTTTTGTGTGTGGACAATGCCATGCTGTTGACTAAAGTCTGATTGATTTGCAGCCAAAGTTAGATTGATGGTATGATAAAATTAGGAGCATGGATCTGCAATTAAATGTAATCAAAGCCCAAGCAGTGTGGCTTGACAAAAAGAAAAAAGAAAAATGGAGGAACTGGTAGTTATACATAACTGACAAAAAGCTAGAGCAACTACATAAATGTGTGTACCTGGGAAGATAGTTACAGTAACTGAAAATGGGAAAATAGATGGAGAAATTTTAAGATGTGCTACAGTTGGCAGAATGCAGTTTGTTGTAAGGAACAAATGTTTGCCGAAAGAAGCAAAAATGTCAGTTATAAGAATATGCTTCTGCTTACTTTTTATATGAAAGTGAATGATGGATATGTCAGAAGAAATGTAAAACTAAGTCAAATGCAGTGGGAATGGAGTACTTAAGAAGTATATATAGTAAAATAAGAAAAGATAAGGTCAAGAATGAATAGCTGATTTCCATTAAGTACTTATTTAATTTTGAAAGCTAATTTCTGATTCAAATCTCTATTGACAAATGTGCTTGCAATAAGTAAGAGATCTGGAAGAAATATTAATAAGAATATTCCTGAATGACTTGCTTGAAACAATATGCATCCAAGAGTGAGTAAAAACTTAAATAAGGTCCTAGTTGCTCAGTCTAGATCACTACACAAACTACCATGATTCTGATGGTCACCTGCCTTTGAAGAAGACAACTCAGGCTTTGTAAACTTTAACAAAAATGATGATTTTGGGGTATTGTCATATCATTCCATTTTCTTCATAGAGTCAGAAAACTAATCTATTTTTAATGTGCTGCTTAAGACAATCAGTTTGATACTGCTCTCCAGATAAACATTAACATTACTTGTTTGAAACATTAACAAGTATTTCACATAATGTGCACAATTCAGTCTGACTAAAGATTTCTTCTGTATAAATTTTCAGATATGGCTACATTAAGCAATTACTAAATTTACCACTAAAAGTATTTACAAACACATATAAGAGAAAGATAAAAATAAAAATGATATATGCATGTGTGTGCATGTGCACATGTATGTATATATGTGAGTCTGTAAACACATACTGCATCAAAATTTCAAATTACTTTATCACTTGATCATTGCTTGCTGGCACTAGCAAATGATATATATAGCTAAATACTTCCAAACGCACCATAAAAAATCACATCTGTCAGGTCTTCATGTATTTCACGTTTCAAAAGGCTGACAGGGATCTTATTTCTAAGCTAAATTCTCCTATCTACTTATTTCCTTATGTATTTATTATCATTCTAACCTTCAACTACAAGAAATAAATAAGTAAGTTAAACAGATGCTATCTTTTAACAAACAGTTTTTCTTGACTGTATTACAAGTTTATGAATGGCAATATAAATCCTTCATTTTTAGATCTTCCAAGATGCACATTTAACAGTATTATACCTACTGAACCCCAAACCATGCTCTATTAGTCACATATAATAAAAATGTTCAAGTAAGGTTGAGAGACTCTCTTTAAAATGACAAAACAACAAACTCAGAGTAAATACTGACACTGACTCTGTAATTCACCACATGATAGCTAGATATTGAAGCAAATTAGACTAACTTCATCTGATATAAACAAAATGTAAC